AGAATAGAATAGAATAGAATAGAATAGAATAGAATAGAATAGAATAGAATAGAATGGAAATAAAATAGGAATAGAATAGAATAGAAATAAAATAGGAATAGAATAGAAATAAAATAGGAATAGAATAGAAATAAAATAGGAATAGAAAATAAGGATAGAAAGAGTAGAAGTAGAATAGGAATAGAAAATAAGAATAGAAGAATAGAAATAGAATAGGAATAGAAGATAATAAGAGTAGGAATAGAAAATAATAAGAATAGAAAGAATAGGAATAGAATAGGAATAGAAAATAATAAGAATAGAATAATAGAAATAGAAGAATAGAATAGAATAGGAATAGAAGATAAGAATAGAATAGGAATAGAAAATGATAAGAATAGGAATAGAAAATAAGAATAAGAATAGAACAGAACAGAATTCTTTATTGGCCAAATGTGATTGGACACACAAGGAATTTGTCATCTACTTGTCATCTACTTGCCAAGATGGGTGGCAAATAATTTTAATTAATAAATAAATAGCACAAAGGAAAGTATGGCCCTATCAAGAGGGAGAGTGAGCCATGAAATGGATCCAAGCAGAGAGAGGCAACGTGTCACGAGGAAGCCAGGATCAAGTAGCCATGATGGGGTGGAGTTCATAAGTGCAGAAATAGCAAGAAACGGGGGAGATTTACACTTACCTCGACTCTCTCCTTCTATTTGGCTTAGGTGATGTCATGACTTTTTGCGTTGCCTGTAGGTGGTCCTCAACTTACAACTACCGTTGGGATTGGAATCTCGCTTGTTTGAGCGACCGGGTCATTACGCGAGATGTGCCGTGAGCACTTTCCTCAAGGATTGCAATTTTGTATTCGCTTGTTGCAGTTGTTAAGGGATCTCACAGGTCATTAAGTAGATGGAATCCCAGGCACGACGCGTGGATTTCCAAACAGGGGAGGCCACGTGAGTCCCGGCACAGCCTGCGTTTGACTTGAGGGGCTCCTGGAGAAGCTTAAGAGAAGTTTTGGGTCACCCCATAGAATAATCATACAATAACCAAGTTGGAAGGGACCTTGGAGGTCATCTAGTCCAGCCCCCTGCTTGAGCTGGAGAGTCTACTCCGGGGTTGCTTGGAAACGGTATGGAACATGCAGCTTGGAGAACGGTGCAAGGCTGCAAAGGCCACCTGTCTGGGGATTAAGGCCACATTTCCCCGTGGCAGCAGTGACACTGGACTGAAGTCCAGACCTGGGGTCAGTGGCAGCTGGCTGAGAGGGCTGAAGGCCCCAGGCCTCTACTTAAGGCCCGGCTCCAACATTGCTGTCAATCAGGGCTGCTTTGTAAGGCTGGGCTGGTGCAGCTCAGGCTTTCAGCTTTGCACCCTGCTTCAACAACCCCGCAACTCATGGGTGTTCTGTGCTAGGTCTCCAGGACCTCCGCCCCCCACTGAGACACCCCCCCCACACGGCTCTTGTCTGCACTACCCTCCACTTAAGAACCCTCAAGATCAGGAGTCTCCAACCTTGGCAACTTTAAGGCTTGTGGACTTCAACTCCCAGAATTCCTCAGCCAGCACGACGGCCATGTTGTGGCCCTAAAGCAGCGGTCTCCAACCTTGGCCGCTTTAAGGCTAGTGGACTTCAACTCCCAGAGTTCCTCAGCCAGCAAAGCTGGTCAGGAATTCTGGGAGTTGAAGTCCACAAGTCTTAAAGTGGCCAAGGTTGGGGAGCCCTGCTCAAAATCACTTAATGACCGCCACTAGTTTGGGACTGTGGTTGTTGAGCAAAGTGACCACATGACCTCCCCACCAAACAGCTGGTTCAACAGATCCCCCAAAGAGGAGAGATTCAAAAGAAAGTTCCACTTATCCTTTCTAGGAACTGGACATTGAATTACAGCCGTCCAGTTTCCCGATTAATTTTTTTGTATTAATTCCTCCTGAAATCTTTGGGTCTAAAAATCCTGACAGTTGGCTTAGACTTTTATTGGAATGGAGAAAGGAAAACTGCAATGGAGGTCACTGAAGTATTATTGTGCATAAAATAATAATATTAATAATGTAATGATGGTCAAAGATAAAAAAAGAGTCTTTACGTACAGATATATATATATATATATACACAGAAGCATGCGGTGGGGCAGGTTTGTGTGTATACACACCCACCCACCCACCTGTGGAGGGGGGATTCAGCTGGTTGGTTTGAACTGTATCGCTTTTATCAACTAGCCAAAATTCTCTTCTCTGCTCAAGCTAGAATTTCCTGGGTGCTAAAGTCCGATCCGTCCGAAACGCACCAGGGTGCCCAACAGTGAAGCTGACCGCTTAGAACTACGTCACTGAAATGTCAAAAGTGAAATCATTCGATTGCATGTCGGCCTTTCCTACCCATAAGGCCTCCATCGGTGGTTTTTCCTCAGTCGCCTCCAGCTTCACTCCGTTCCTCCACCCCCCGCCGCCCTCAAGACAGGCCAAGGGAGGGCTGGCTGAAAAACCATCTGGATCGTAGTCTATGGTCATTTCTCTGAACTGGTTTGATTGTGTGTCGGCCTTTTCTACCGATAAGGCCTCCGTGGGTGGTTTTACCTCAGT